ATGATTTTATGTAAGCCGCCCTGAGTCCCCTCAGGGAAAAGGGCGGCCTATAAATGTTAATAAATCTCTAAATCTCTCTCTTCTATGGTGGAATAGAAGATGAGTTGTGTTTACTGTTTTCTTAATTGCACAGTATATAAGTGATTGTACAAAATGAAAATGAAAATGAAATAAAACAGTTCATGAGAAAAAAAATATGCGATTTGATATGAAAAGCAGGTGGTAACTTTGGAAGAGATGCATGAAATTACTGTAACCAACTGACACACTTTCTACAATTTGTAATGGAAGATGGTTTTTTTATTTTTATGTTTCTTTTGTCATTGTTCAAAAACAAATAAAAATTGGTTTGTTTTTTTTTAAAAAGAGGCATGTGTGTTCATCCTTTCCAGTGCTTTGAATTGTCATTCATAATACACAGTTGTGTATTATGGGAGTTATAAAGTGTTCTTTCACAATACAAAGTTAAATAATAAGCAGTCTGAGAGATTTTATCATTTATATTTTCACCTTAATGAAGATATAACCAACTAAAGGTGTCTTACCATAAGCAGTGGAACAAAAATAACTATTAATTTTCTTCCTTGAAAAATGCATATCAAATTCTGAAGTTAGAAATCCCAGCAATCAAGTTTTTTTCTTAAGTACAGGACATAATGAGCAGTGTGTTGCTTGTTCTTTTATGTGTATAATTCATTATAAACACACTGGAGCCTCTTTCAGACAAAATTACCTGATGACACACAGTTGATTGTATAATGCAAATGGACATTGCTCAAACAGCTAAAAATAATTCATATGAAATGAAAGACTAGATAGAGTGATAACTGACAGAAAATAACTGCATACCAGTTCAAACATCTCATTCATTCATTCATACTTCAAAAGCATTCTAGACTAAAATTAAATGTGTCCATAACATAAAAAGAAAATGTGAAACATACAGAATTAGTAAAGCAATGCAGGAAAATAGCAATTCTTCTCCTATATAATCCTGACATTTAATTTATATTGGATTGCTACTGGTTTTTTTATTATTATGAAACACTTAGGGGGGGGAATACAAAACAGATTTCAATGTTCAACAGAAACCCTCTTCCCTTCTGAAGAAATCAAAATGCATGCAAATGATATAATGCATCAAGGAGTAAATCTCACTCCCTCACTCACTGACACATACACATACACTGCTAATGTTTTTTGTCAGAAGAGAAGAACTTGGTTATACATCTAGTCCAAAGCTCAAACCCATCTCAAATTGTATTTACTCAAGGAGATAGACTTCAAATGTACTCTCTCTGTTGGATAAACTCAGTTAGATTTTAACGAGAATGTCCTTTGTTCTTTGAGGTACAAACTCATCTTAAACAGCAGTTAGTCAAGAATGCCTGGTAAATAGCTATATAATACATATTTGTTCAAAATGTGCAGGACTGAAGGAGGAATACAAGGAACTAATAAAAATGACAGAAATGATATTTTCCAGGAATGACAAGAGTGTCAAGCTATCAAGCTTTACTTTGATTACATATTGATTGCATTACCTCAATCAATCTCTTTTTTAAGGAACTGGTACTGTTCACTGACCTATTCATGCATTTTTGTATGCCCTTTTTAAAAAAAACCTAAAAACTCCTGAAGGAGATCCCCTTTTCCTCTGCTTCTAATCCAGGCAATGTGAGAAGTGTGCTTGAGAATTTTTGCTAATGGAATTGTGGACACTGACATCCATGATCAGCCAACTGAAAATAATTGTATTCAAAGGGACAATCCAAACCAATTGAGAAGGCTGTGCCTTTACACAGCCCTACAAAAGAGAAATTATAATTGTAACAGAAGATAGAAGTTTATATGAGCAACAAAAAGAAAACCATTTCTTTGTGAAACCACCAGGAAGGATGGCCTCCAGAATGTTTCTAAAACGTCTTTTCCAAACAATAGATTTTGTCTGAAAACTAGCCATCACATACCTAACCCCGCGCGCTATGTCTTAGGCATAACCCTATGAAAGAATGTTTTCACAATGAGTCCTGCATATTTACTGTATTACTCACAAATTTTCACTTGCTAAAAACAAATGTAATTTTGCTGGCCATCAAAAGGCCCGTTCTTTTCAATGTTGGCCACTTCACAGGCATGACTGTCAAAAATGCATTTTGTCCAATTTATTTGCTATGTTACATTATAGCTGATGATTCTGGGATCAGATGATTCATAGACAAAGCATACATGTATTAAAGACTTCAGAATGAAAACAACTATTAAAATTTTATATGATATGTAATACGGGGACGCTATATAAAAGTCTTCTCTAATGTAAGAGCACCTCCAGGAAAACTGTGCATCCTTAAATTATATTACTCAGCTAACAGAGCCTGAAAGCCAATATGGATTTCCCCAGACAGAATGTACATTGATAGCAAGATGAATATGGTTATATCTTTGCCCTCAGCTTTCCAAATGCATCGCTAAGCAATCATGAAACTCATCAGATAGAGTGACAGCTTTTTATAGAATTACAATAATTTGTCCTACTATTGCCAATACTTTATAGTGTTGGAATCACAATGAACTGTGATTAAAAGTTACCGTATGTTGAGATACACCCATTCATTTTCCAAACGGTCTTCAAAATACATTTGTCCTTGAATTATTTTAAGGCTGCTTTAACATAAAAAGCCATCTAGTAATTGCTTTAACACAAAAGCCGTCTTTTAATTACTTTCAACATAAAAACATTCAGAACCAACATTGAGCACATTCTAAATTACTCATTCATTTAAGGCCATCTAGGAATGTGAAATTCAGATTTGCTGTGGCATTTGAATGAATTTCAGCAACTGTAACTTTAAACTTCACCCAGTTAGGGGTAAAAGGAAGCAATGAACTGAGTAATCCATAGAGGTTAATTGATAGAGGGGTAACTGCATTATAATCATGCATCTTCAAAATAAATAATTTGCTCAGAAACAAATACAAAAGAAACTGATTGAATGAAAATGAACCAGATGAAGGCATTTAAAGCTGTTCTTCTAGTTTTGTTAGTATGAACTTACCCATACTTATTTATAAAGAGCAAGAAAATTCATTTTTTTCCTTTCTCTTTCTTTTGCAAGCATGCCCCAAAATTGGTCAATCTTCCAATGATGCAGAGCAAGGGTTGTTTTTTTTCCAACTGAAGTGAATGGCAACGTGTGTGAGAGACAGAGAAAAGAACAACACCCAAATCTGTTGAGAAAAAGTAAGACATCCCTGCACAGTTTTCTTCCTACTGCCAATCCAACATACTGCAATCATTCTTTCTTCATAAACAGATATAAGGAGGTAACTCATAGCAACACACTGGTCAAAAACTGCCTCTTATTTCCTTCTGATTAGACAAGAAGAAAAGCAGGGCAAGTTGGTTGGTTAGGAAGTTGCCATTCAGGGAGGTCTCAATTTATGATTGTTCTGGTAGATACGTAAGGCATCAGCACTGGATTTGTTGCATGGCTAATCATGCATATAAACAATTTCTCCAATAGACAAAAAGATTGATGGGTGCTTCTTTGATGCAACTATAAACAGCGTTATCAATCCAATAATAAAACATCTGCTCTCTGTTCATTTTCAGGAGACAGGTACTCAATTTCAACAACTCACTTCTCTTTCAGCAGATATTTAATGACCATCCTTTAAATATTTATCTTGTGCTGACAAGTTTTATCTTCTGCATTAATCTTGTAGTTATCCTTTAGTAAGATTAGCAGCCAAAAGTGGATTTTACCATTTTAAGTCTAAAAAAGTCATTTAGAATTAGCCATCCTCTTACCTCAATCTGCTTCTTCAGTTCCCTTCCAGGACCACTGACTGGAGTAGTGGGTTCCCGTTGCAATGCATCTGCAAGGACATTAACTGTAGCTTCTGCTTCTTGTATCCACTTGAGGAACTTTTCAAGGTCTCTGAACAAGGCATGTACTGTCTTCAGGTCAGCCTCCAAACGATTCTGCCTATTGCAAGTTCTATAGAAGGGAAGGAAAAAAATCAGTGACTACAGGAAAGTGAGAAGAAATCACCCTTTGGGTGACTCAGCACATTTTGCATGCATTTGTTATATGATATGTACAGCTTTAGGACCTCATGCTATACTCTTTTAGTATTAAAACATATGCCATAAATGTACTATATTTCTTACTAAAACAATAATATGAAAATGTATGAAAATTACATAATTCCTCTTCTTGCTATGAACAAGGTATGGAACTGCCAGTATGAGGAACAGAACAGCACACACCTGTCGGAGGTAAATGGGTAATGAAAAAGCTTCTCACACAATGAATGCAAACAATTCTTTGAACTTGCATATACATTAAAATAAAAAGGACATGATGGCTCAGTAGCTAAGACACTGAGCTTGTCGATCAGAAAGTTGGCATTTCAGTTGTTCAAATCCCTAGCGCCACATAACGGAGTGAGCGCCCATTACTTGTCCCAACTTCTGCCAACCTAGCAGTTTGAAAGCACATAAAAATGCAAGGAGAAAAATAGGGACCACTTTGGTGGGAAGGTAACAGTGCTCTATGCGCCTTTGGCATTTAGTCATGCCGGACACATGACCACAGAGATGTCTTCAGATAGTGTTGGCTTTTCGGTTTTGAAACAGAGATGAGCCCCATCCCCTAGGGCCAAAAAGGACTAGCACGCATGTATGGGGGAATCTTTACCTTTTTATACATTCAAATCACAAAGTTGTTGAAGTGTGTCACTTAACTTTTTTATTTTATAACTTACTTGAGCAACTGATATTTGTTTGTTTGTTTGTTATTCACACAAAAGGGACAACATTTAAAATCTGTCAGTGGAGCTTAAAGAACATTAACATGTAAACACCACTGCTTCGTGAGCTGCATTGGCTGCCAGTGTGTTTGTGGGTGCAATTTAAGATGGTAGTTAGCACCTTTAAAGACTTCATGGCTTGGGGTCAGATTATATATTCTAAGGGATGTCTTCTACCCATCATTTCTATCTGCCCAATTCAATCCAGCACCGTTCAGCCAAGGAATGTTGCTGGGCCCTAACCCTTCAGAGATCAGGATGACACCAGTTTTGCTGGCCTTTCATAAGGCTATGAAGCCTGGGTTGTGTGGTTGGCTCTAGGGCCCTCAAAAATATTAAGGGCCCCATTTCTTGACTGTACAGGTAGTTCTCGAGTTTGTTTAGTGGCCATTCAAAGTTATAACAGCACTGAAAAAAGTGACTTACGACCGTTTTCCAGACTTAGAACCATTGCATCATCCCCATGGTCACATGATCAAAATTATGGCAATTGATTCATTTATGATGATTGCAGTGTCCTGGGAGTTGCAGGTCATGTGATCACCTTTTGCGACCTTCTAACAAGCCAAGCCAGATACACTTAACAACTGTGTAACATGTTACTCAGTTAACAACTGCCGGGATTCACTTGACAACTGTGGCAAGAAAGGTCATAAAATGTGGCAAAACTCACTTTACAAATGTCTCACTTAACAACATAAACTTTGGGCTCAATTGTTGTCATAAGATGAGGATTACCTGTATTAACACCCATAGTATCTGTTCTATTTGATGCCATAGATATATTTATTCCATATTGTTTCAGTTGTTTCAATTGTTTTTAATTTGTTTTTATGTTCTATGATGTACACTGCCCAGAGTCATTTGTTGAAAAAGGCATCTATCTATCTATCTATCTATCTATCTATCTATCTATCTATCTATCTATCTATCTATCTATCTATCTATCTATCTATTTCTACACTATCCCCTCACCTGAATAACTCTAAGCAGTTTACAATAAAACTAGCTAAGCAGCTCAACCTTAGTTCTCCAGGACTATATTTAGGAAATAAAAGAGACCTAAATCCACCCATCTTTTAATCCATAACTAAGATTTTATAGATCAATTAAATATAAAAATCACTGAAGTTGCGTGTCATATGTCATCTGTGACCCAATTATAGATGAGTAACAGAATATTTCTCCAACTCCAATTTTCCAATATACACGGGATTATTTCTTACAACTGTTATTTTTTTTTTACAGATTTTGATATAATCTTATCTTGTAAGGATGTGAGATTGAGTTTTAATTAAAATTTCAGAACTGGAAGCATCCACATCAATGTTTAAAGCACCTGCATTTAATTCCAGAAGGACAAATTTCTTTGTATATTTTCAGTTTTACAGAACTGTTTTATTCTTCTTCTATCTCTCCCAATAATGAAAAATTCTTTATGTAATTTAAAACCCAAAATAGGAATGCTTCATGACATTGTTTTTTTAAAGTGAAATGTTGTAATGAAACCTAAGTAGTACACTATAGCAGTGAAAAGATCTAAAAACATTAAGCATTTTTAACATATGAAAGGCTAAATTACCTGAAAGAAGATGGTTTTCACTTGATACTGAAAATATAATATATGCTAGGGATATCAACTGCAGAAGCTATTTCACAACTGACATACCATCAATGAAAAGTTCCCCTTAGCAGAATCGCCTTCAATTCAAGTGAAATTAGGACCAAATCATTATTGCTTTAGATCAGGAAGTGGAAGTGACAGTCTTTTCACTGACTGCGGGGGGGGAGGGGGGAAGAAACACGAACCCTGTATCTGTCTATTAAATGTCAATTTGGTAGACTATCATCTTTTAAAGGATGTTTTGGAAACAGAGTTTGCTACATCTATTTACAAGTCATAGCAAAAGCTATGTCACAAAATATATTTGGTCAGCTTCTCTTATCTCTTTGGCAAGCCTGTCTTATCTTAAATTAATAATATATAGTACTTAACCTCCCTCTCCCATTTTAATGCACTGGATTTTCCTTCCCTTTTCCTCAACTACTGAACATAGTTCGGGTGTATGGATCTAGGTGCATATATTATGAGAGTAGTCTACTTATCCAAAAGATAGAATGATACTACATGGGGGAGCTTTTGCGAGTCATAGAGGAAATAACTGGCCAGAGAATTAATTTCAGCAGGGCACTTGCCTTTCTTCTTTGTTGTGATTATATTATCTATATCAAACCAAAGTTTAAATTACATGAGCCAGTTGTATTATCTCCAGGTGCGCAGTAATACAGCTTTAAATTTAATACATACAGTATGTCACAGAAATGAGTACACTCCCTCACATTTTGTAAATATTTAAGTAGATCTTTTCATGTGATAACACTGAAGAAATGACACTTGGCTACAAAGTAAAGTAGTGAGTATACAGCTTGTATAACAGTGTAAATGTGCTGCCCCCTCAAAATAACGCAACACACAGCCATTAATGTCTAAACCTCTGTATATGCCTCTTCAGAAGAAGATTGTGTAAATTAATATTAGGAGTCTAAGAGTTACAGATAGTCTTCAACTTATAACAGTTTGTTTACTGACCATCCAAAGTTACAAAGGCACTGAAAAAAGTGGCTTATGACCCTTTTTCACAGTTACAACCTTTTTAGCATCCCTATGATCATGTGATCAAAATTCAGATGCTTGGCAACTGGTTCATATTTATGACTGTTGCTGTTCCCAAGATCATGTGATCAATCACCTGTTACAACCTTTTCCAAGCAAAGTCAACGGGGAAGCCAGATTTACTTAACAACCATGTTACCAATTTATTAACTGCAGTGATTCACTTAATAACTGAAGCAAGAAAGATTGTAAAATGGGGGAAATTCACTTAAATATTTCACTTAACAACATAAATTTTGGGCTCAATTGCGGTCATAAGTCAAGGATTACCTGTATGATAGTCAGAAGACCAATCGGCTCCCTTTCTTGTTACAGCTATAAAAATGTGACACTTCTTGATTTAATAAGAATATTATTCTTTAATAAGAAAGAAAACAGTCCCCAATTTAAATCATATGTTGCTATCCAGTAACATAATTTCTATTCTTCACATCTTAGAAATGTGGAGGTGAGTGCACTTATGTATAATTTAGACATACATACCTGTGTTTCAGGTTAATCCATGAGGTATTCAAGTGATTCATAATTTCCTTCACATTTCTTGTGTCATCACCACTGTACTCTTGAAGAAGCTTACTTGACAGCTCATTAAATGAAATCATCTCGGCATCTCCTTTATCTAGGTCTTGCATTAATATCTAAAAAATAAATACATAGTAGTCAAAATATCTAATCAGTCAGTTGTTGCTTTTTTATGAAGTTGAATCAGCAATGGGGACTGGGGATTATGTTCCTAGTGATTTAATCCAGGGGACTGCTGAATGCTTTTCACCATTTTGCAACCAGGGAACAATATCTATATCAACATTTCTATTAAGCAAAGCAAACTGTTGCAATAAATAGTATGAATGAAACTTTAGGTCATATTCATTTTTCCCATTGAACATTATTTTTACCGGTTGTTTTTCTAGAAAGCTAATTCTTACATTTTAGTAGAGGAGAGATTACCAACGTGGAGGCTGAAATATCTGCCTTATATTGAACATTTTCATTAGAATAACTGGACTGAAGGCAAAAGGGGAGAGCAAACTGAGAAATGGGTTATGAGCAAAACTCACTCAACAGATTGTTATTAAGAAACAGCAGAACAAAGGGGAAGATAACAAAAGTAGAAAGCAGGCTGAAGATTCAGCAACATGTACAATAGTATGATTTGACCAATGTGCCAAACTCTTTCTTGTGCTTTTTAGAAAAGCTACAGAAAATGAAAGCAGAAAAACTGAAAGCAGAAAAACTGCATTAAATTGAGTTTGCAGCCTTGAGGGCATTTAGAGAAAGATTGATACTCCGAGATCATTTCCTATGTTGTGTCACAACCTATGTCAGGGATGTTAAATTTGACTTCATTGAGGGATGCATCAAGGTTGTGTTTGATCTCGAGGAGTTGGGGGTGGCCATAGTGGGTGTGGCCAGCTCAATGTCACTCGTCTGATCAAATGCCACTTTTGCTAGTAGTTTGTTTTGCTAGCACTCTGCCAGTGAAAATGGAGTTCATGAGAGCCGTGCACAGACCTGAAGAGCTCTGTTTTCGCTGGCAGAGGCACCGCGGGCTTGTCCTTTGCTGTTTCCTGGACAGGCCCGTTGGCCAGATCTGAGGCTTGAGTTTGACACCCCTGACCTATGCCAATTTATGCTTTTCTGGAGTTTCTCTAAGTGCAACTTTTCCACACTATGATGTTGAGGGCAGAGCACAGTTATTTCCTAGAGTGAGTGAGTGAGTGAGTGTGAATGTGTGTGTGTAAACATGTGTGTGCATGTGTGTGTGTATAAACATGTGTGTATATAAACATGTGTGTATAAACTTTTTTGTGCATGTGTAAACATGCATGCATGCAGTAGGATAAATGCCCAAAGGAAAAAATATTGATAAGGGTACATGATCAAAATTTTGGGAGACCGCTGATCTAAAACAAAAGCCCTCCACAGAATGCACATGCTGCAAAAACCTGGAATTTAATGTTTAAATCTTTTTGCAGAGCATCTGCTGGCATCACTAAAATCACATTTTACAACTTTATCAGGGGAGAAAAAAAACATTCTGACTTGGAAAGGTGCTGCTAAAGTGGCTTGCAACTGAAGATAGCAAGGAGAAAGATAAAGGGGTTTATTTAAAAGGGGATATATAGCAATCTTTAAATGCTTCTCTTGAGGCTTTTCTTTATTTTATAAGTATGAACAACTGATATTTGTCAGATATTTCCTTCCTAGACTTAAAGTAACAGAGCACTGCTTTCCATATATAGGTATGGTTAACTTACAAAGAAAGCTTATTTTATTACTTTTGAAATAGTAACTTTATTTCTTATTTAGACTCTCATAAATAAAATATAGAGACATCAAATAAAAAGAGCATAAAGGCTGTATAAATCATTTATTTTCTAAATAAAGAAGAAATACAATGCTGGTGAATCATTATGTATTATATGTATAAGAATAAATAGAATATAAGTTTATAATAAGGAATTGTTTCTATTCTTGACTCCTTTATTTTCCTTATAAGATTATTGATATATATTATGTTTCAATAGTTATTTAAGGCTCAATTTTTACATTGGAAAATATAATACTTTACTATCAATGGAACAATCAGGCATTAATCTGGAATGATAAATACAGATAAATATTAGCAGAAACAAAATATTGTTGCTTTCCAAATATATGGAGTCTATCAAAATAGTAAAGAAAATATTTTATTAATTCCCCAGATTAAATATTCTTCCATATTCTAGTGGCTTTTGGGGGGGGGGAATTATTTAGATTTTGGTAAGTCTGTAAGCTTTTAAGAATGCATCTTTAAAAAAAATAAAGATAAGACATATGAATATACTATATCTCTTATATGATGTCAAGATGATTGTTTATTCCTTGGAAACTATAGGAATGACAAATTTAGAAACAAAACCAAAGAAAACTAGGTTTGTATTCTTGTATATAATGGCAGGTAACAATACAAAAAGATGAACTCAAGTCAGTGAATATACTTAAACCGCCTTCCTCCTTTTTTCCCCACAACAATAACCCTGCAAGGAAGGTGTGTTCGGTTGAGAGTGAATGACTGGCACAGAGTCACTCACCTCACTTTTGTGCCTAAGGTATCACTAGAATTCGCACTCTCCTGGTTTTTAGCCTAGTGGCTAAAATAATGCTTCTATCATAATTATCACCAGTCTCTAAGAATTATTTTGTAGATTCTGGGATAGGCATTTACCGTATTTTTTGAGTATAAGATGCACTCCCCCCCCCCCCAAAGAAGGTTGAAATTTTGGGTGCGTTTTATACTCTGAATGTAGCTTTTTTGAAGCTTTTTTTCAGTCCTAATGAAGTGCTAATGAGTGAAGCAATCTTCCATGCTTTGCCTGCTTTTCTCATTGCTGCTCCCTCCAAAGATCAGCTGTTTTTTAGAAGCTGTTTTTTATTCCCAACCAGGGATAAAAAGCGTGCACGCTCAAAACCAGCAAACCTATGTGCTGAAGCTGATCAGACTAAAGCCAGATGAATACCTGGTAGGCAGAATTTTTTTTCCTATTTTCCTCCCCCAAAACTAAGGTGGGTCTTATATGGTATATATGGTATATTCCTATTTCTTTGAACCATAATTTAACAGAATCCTCCAATGTGTTCCCTCTTGTATACGGGCAATATACATATGGATGAAATATTCTATGTGTATTCATTTATTAACAAACTAATCTCTTATATTGTTTCAGGAATCTAGTATCACTAATAGATTACTGAAAGGATACTGAAATATAACAATTGGCTTTTTCTTTTTTTCCTGAGAGGATAAAGGTTGTCAAACATATTAAGAAAAACCGATGCTTCTGTTTGAGCCCAGGATATATAGCTGACCTTGTAAAGGTTCAGAAAATGGTTTAATTTTGTAACTTAGATTAAGAGTCCTATCCAAGACAAAGGGTGCTTTATCAAAGATAAATCAATCTCCAGACAAATTAAAACTCTGGGCTAGCAAAGAAGCAGAAGATTCTCTAACTCTACAAAGATGGAGAAGTTAGTAGAGGAGAGGCAGTAAGAGGTTAGGATAAAAAAATGTTTAAGACTGCAGGTAAACCCTGAGTCATTATCTTGAACTAAATCAATGACATTTTGCAACAAAGGGCCCACAAGAATAGGCAATGCCTCCATTCAAATATAGGTATTGGATTTTAGATAAACATTTAATGTCTCTGGATTAATAGGAAAGGAACCTGTTCCATCTTAAACAGTAAAAAGCAATCTTCAAAGTTCCAAGCTGGTAAAGGGTGGTAAAAATTGGTCTGTTTTTCCCATCAAGGTTCTGAATTGAGAAATGTATAGATTTACATCAGGGATGGATGAGATTTATTGTCAGGTAAGCACTGGCAAGCAGTAATATATCTGTGGAAAATTCATTTTAATCTAATTAGAAGACACATGCACCACTCCTTAATTTTTCAGCAGAAGGTCATGAACACCACAATCACTCTCTCCCCTGCCCTCCCCAGCTCTAACTTGGCAGTTCCCCAAATTTTGGCTGCTTTATTTTTTTAAACTAAAAATGGAAAAGAGTCTGAATGGTATCTAAGAAAAGCTCCAGACATGAAGCATAGAAATCCTGCTGCCTTGGCTTTTCGTAAAACTCTTCAATTTGCAGGTATATCAGAAGGAGCTGTATCACATTATTCGTCTTAATGGAATTAACTGTATGGCAGGAATAAGACATTAAACTGAATCTATGAACCACAGTTCTGCATTAGAAAGCATTGAACTCACTTTGTTTTCTGAAATTTGTTTGGTAAGCTTTTCTTTAGAAGACTGTAAGAGAGCATGTAGATGGATCTCATATTGTCCAATTAGCTTCTCCATTTCTTGCTTCTGTTCATCCCATTTCATGGTGTCAGTAAGCATGCATTTCAGCTGATGCTGACGTAATTCAACCCCATGCTGAGTGCCATCCCACTGGTTTTTAACTTTCTCCACTGAAACAGACAGAAAATAAATCTAGTCCCATGAAAAGACATTGAAAATATTGCATCATCTTTATTTTTCTACCACTCAAACTAACATTTTTTTTAAAAATCACTCAAACCAACATTGGGTCCAAAATTTACTATTATAGATTCCCATAATTCTGGAAAGGGGAGGGGTCAAATTTACTTCTATAACACACACACACCCAAAATACACAATATGCCTTTCTTAATTTGACAATATTATATTGGCTGACAATGTTATATTGATTAAATTAGTATCTTTGATACCAAACTATCTTAGCAAAGTATCTCTTATTCCAACTGCTTTTTCCTCATTTTTATTATAAAGGCATTTGCTTTTATATAAAAAATAGAAAATTAGACAAAAAATGTACATAAAAACTGGATCTAACATTGTTTAATCTTGTGGCTTTCTAAAACTCTTCAAAACATACCATCTAATACATCTTTTTAAAAACTCACATCTCCAACTTCCAGTTTGTTAGTCTTTAAAACCGATGAAATCCAAAGATGTGAATATAAGTAGCCAATGTCAAGCAACACCCTAAGCAAGATCCTTTGCTATATTCTAAATATGGGAACTTTAAGACTTGTGGATTTCGATACAAAGAATTTCCCAGCCAGCATATATGGATGCAGAATTCTGGGAAGTAAAGTCCACAAGACTTAAAAGTTGACAAACGTGGAGACTCCTGCTATAGATCTTCATTCTCATTTCTTCCTTTTGCCTATCAGGATTAAACGGTCCTTGGTGCTTTCTGAGCTTGTTTTTTTCTTTTTCTTGCAGACGTTTCATTGGCACTGATGTTACCTAGTTTGGCTAATGAAACATCTGCAAGAAAACAAGCAAGCTCAGAGAGCACCAATCACCGTCAGATCAATCCTGAGCTACAAATATTCTCCTTTATTGGTATCAGGATTAACCCTGCCTTCATCTCTATATATTAGATTACCCCCAGTGCCACCTGGTTCATTACATTCTGTATCCATTGTTTTGTCAATAAATAATGGAATCATGATGTATTTATTATTTCATTTTTAGTGCCCATTTCTCTTCTGTTCTCTACTTTCTTCTACTGACAAAAAGCACATACATTTCTCTGTGATTGCTGTCCTTAAATCAGAACTTGATGTTTTGTTTTTCAGATTTTGAGCCAAGGTAAAAACCGAATCCAACTGGGGATGTCGATGTTCTAAATCAACTTCTGTTATCTGTAACATAATGGGATAAAGATGTGCTACTAGTGATTAGAGTTTAATAAAAACAAAGTTATTCAAACCAATGCTTCAAATATTAACAAAGAAGTGTATCTTAATCACATTATAATCTGCATTCAAAAGCTCTGCAATATAATCTGCATTCAAAAGATAGTCAGATCATGATGACCATGATCTGATGTGTTGCAATTACAATTCCCAGGCAATAAGATCATGATGTTTGGGAATTTAGAATTATATCCTAACCCACACCCGGAGTCCACCAATTTAAGGAAGCTGAAATAGGGGTTAATTACCTGTTAGATTTGCATAGTAAATTTAGAAATTTTGCTCTCGCAAAGTGAAATGAGTGGAAATGAAACTGTATAAAATTCATACTGATTCATAAAAGGCTGAAAACTTTCATAATGTCTGTGATCTCTTTTCTAGGATTCCAAGATACATTATTTATGTTTCTCTGCTCCAAGGAATTTTGTTCTCAGTGTTGATCCCAGGTTTTAGACACTGTATATTCAGAGTGTTTTAATCAACAGGGATTTTATTAGAGCAGAAGCTTTAATAAAATCTCTGTGGATTAAAACTCTCTGATCCTCTCCCTACCAACTGGTTGGTGGGGGATCTTTCTAGCCTCAATTGTCAAGTACCTATCCTGCCATCCCTTCCCCTCTCTCCTCCCCCCCCCCAATCACAACTGATGAAGTTTCTTGGATGAGAAATGAAAAGTTTTGTTACTTCAAGGAAAAAACAATCCAGTTACCTTTGGAGAAAGTACTTATGACTTGGATGACTGAAAATCTCCACAGACATACACTAGTAGCTACCTCCCTCTCTCCCTCCCTCTCTCTCCCTCTCTCTCTCTCTCTCTCTCTCTCTCTCTCTCTCCCTCCCTCCCTCTCTCTGTGAGGGAGGGAGGCAGGGAGGAAGGGAGATACATACATATTCACACATGCACATTTTTTCCATGACAAATTGCTGGCAAGGAAATATCTATTTTTGACCCTGGGCTATTAAACCAAATAAACTCATCTCCATTTTAAGGCCATGAAGTATTAAATCAAATACTTCATCTAAAAAGGGGCAGCTGAAAAGTTCTGAGATTTTCTTATTAAATTGCATTAAATATATTTTCATGAGCAGTTAATTTGTCCATTGCTGTCCATGATACATTATGCCCAGATCTATCCTCAAGTTATTTGTTACTAATTACATCCATATGTTGCTAATATCAGTAGCAAAGAAAATGTCAGCATAGGTTTCTGTAACCATTTCCAGGTTAACTTCTGTTGGCAAATTGTAAATGCCAGTGTAAAATATTTTCATTTCTCCTGAAATTCAATGACTAAACAAACAAACAAATGAATGAAATACATACATAAAAGTAAACTTGTTATAGCAACAATATCTATGTTCAATATACCTGGCAGTCAGTTTAAACATTGAGCTAACTTTAAAAAATAGTCAGACCCTGAAACAATTCCATTGTATTATATTGTGCTGCTACTGGGTACTGGGGGGAGGGGAGGAGGAATCAGAAATAGGTGTTCTAAAATACATTATAGGTTTCCTGGGCTTCTTATGAAAACTAATAGTAAATGTGCACATTCCTGATCAAGCAAAGCTGAGTGCACCTCCTTCAGTGAGCAAATTTATGCTCAGCCTGACTCTGTGAAGCATGGCCCATTTTCCTCTATCAATGCTCCACAGAAGTTTCCTTGAGGCAGAAAAAAAAGACAGCACATCTGTATCTTAACAGAGTATGGATGATATGCAATCAGAGAAACTGCACACAAAATATTCTTCTGCTGCTAAGGAGTGGATTTAAGTCCCAGGAGCAACAACAGGAAAAGTCCACTGAATTCCTTGCCACGTGCTCTAAAATAGTTCCTGGGCAAGAAGGATTCAAGCAAGGAAAAGAAAGCAACGATTTGCAGAATTGGGCGACATTCAAAAAAAGGCATTCAGTCTTTCTGACTAGTCATTGATACCCATAAAATCTTGACAACACCAAAAATAAGCAGAAGAATGCTCTAATCCTAATTCTTCTTTGGATTTATTTTCAATAATTGTGAAATACCATGACAGAATTTTACTGAACAAGGGAAAAAAAAAACCAGGGAAAGGGATTAACAAAGAATATTCTGAAGCTTTCCCAAAAAAATACAGTTCAGAGCATCACATACTTTCATGCGTGCAATCGTCCGATTGATTTCTTCAATATTTCCAACAGTAACTATATTGGATTTTAGCATTTGGTCGATCAATGCCAACCAGTCAGCCAATTCTGTCGTAGTTTGATCCAAATCGGCAGGTGTCGAGATTTCCAAAGGATGCTGAGTTTGTGCCACGTTTTCTGAGGCAGAAGACACGAGCACCGTTGTTTGGAGAGCAGGGAAACCTAAACAACCAACATGATTGATCAACTCATACTTATTATCTAGAATTTATTCACATTGGAAAAGCAAAACACCACAATATCGCTTGTAGTTCATATTAGTCCTCTTGTATCTCTGTACTATACTTACAGTTTAAAACTGTCAGGATTTTACTGTTAGAGATAGAATTCTGAAAATAACTTCTTTCCATATGTCTACAGAGCAACCAATTCATCATTTAATCTAACCTCTAGATATATAATGGTACTAGAAAGATTGCTGCTTTCATTTTTTTGCAAAATCTCAAATCTTTGACAGCTTAGCGAGGTGACAGAAATTCACTATCTGATTACCACACTCAAAACAGTTCTGAAACATTCAAACACTAAGTCAGCAGAAAGCTGTCAATGAGGGTAAACTCAGAACCTGCTGCTAATCTTAATTTACTATTTAGGGGGGAGGGGGGAATCAATTGAAAATGTTCATTTCACAGTCAAAGAAATGCCATTGATTTTCATAAGCGACATTTACTTCCTGATCCTTTAAATCATACAAATAGAAAAAGACATACGTGCTAATTTTCAAAAAGTGCAACAACAAACTAGTTTCTCTTATTAAGCGAATACATTACAAGTGCATTTTTCAAAATACATTTTATGCTCCTTTAAAGTAAAAGTATCCTTTTTCTTCAAGATCAAAATAAACAGATCTACCACATCTGCTTCTTTATTCCCTTTAAGTTTTACTAAGATGACAAAAATATGCCTAAATGTTTCTCCATAGAGATCATTTTCTGCTCAAGACTTACCAGAGGACTTCGGCACAAGATGCTGCTGATGAATATATCCCTCCAGTTCTCTCAATCTGGTGGGTGCTTCTTTGAACACCTAATGTTGTGTGAGGAGAAAATAATTTTTATATTCAAAGATCATGGGTATCATTGTACAATATTAGACAACTACAGAAAATAGTGGGCAAGACAATTTATATTTCACTAAACAGCCTACAGAAGATCAAGTGGTTTGCAATTGGTCCTGAAAAGGGTTGGGAGATCGTTGGAAACTCTATGGGTCCCTTCATCAATCATTGATACTATTTTCTTCTGCATGACTTAATTAACTTCATGGAGTTCATTAGGTTTAAAGGGAAAGTCCCAAAACAAATATTCTTCCTGAAATTTTGATGTATTAGATTTATATAACACCTTTCTCCAGGGACACAAAGGCATTTATATGATATTTTCCCTTCATGTTATCCCCAAAATAATAACCATAATAATAATTACTCAGAACAGGTTACATCCCATGACAATACCTTTAACATCATCAAACAGCAACATCTACTTATCCCAGATCTCTGGGAAGGACTTGATCGCTGGATATACAATGCCAAATACAGACTAAACATCTGGTTGATTGTATGACCAACCAAGATACAATTGCTGGTATCTTGCACAATGAGACAAATCACAAATCATTATCTGAGCTTCTACAGCTGTGAGCAGACTAGAACCTTGATTTCCTCAGTCCTCCACCAACACCATAAATATTGTATCCTAGATCAAATCTGCTTCAATCTTCCTTTCCCTCTAAGCTTGTTACATCATATTTCACCACATGATAAAGTATTCTTCTAAGATATACCACGTTTCCCCCAAAATAAGACTTATTTTCTTTTGACCCCCAAAATAAGCACTTGGAATTATTTTTGCAGAGTTCTTATTATTTTGGGGGTGGAAGAGGGGGCGAGCGTGGTCACCTCATGGCTGCTGCTGTTTTGCAATATTTTGGGGGAGGGCTTATTTTCAGGGGAGGGGAGTTTTTTAGCACATGTGCTCAAAAGCCCAAATTGGGCTTATTATCTGGGGAGGTCTTATTTTCATTGAAACAGGGTATTTTTGGACACTGATCATTTGTTTCATTACATGAGCGTAAGAACTTTTACATTACTCAACAGTGTGATGAAATCAATGACTTCCAACAAGAACAGCTCCCAAAATGAAAAAGCAGGCAGAAAAGCCATATAATATAATCCTGCTCTTTTCTAGAGCACCAGTGTCAAACTCGATCGCATCACATGACATATCGTGACATATCACAATGGTTTTTGTCTTTGAGGAGCATGACCTGCATGTGACATCAGTTTGACAGGCCTGACCTAGAGTCATTAACACATTGGGCAATGTTAAATTGAATGAAATAAATATATTGCAATATTACTTCAAAATGCATGTGAGAGTTCTGTGTCTGACTGCTCGCACTAATAAAAAGATACTCCATAAGAAGCAGAGCTGCCTATCAGATGATGACTACTTCAGAGCTTTTTTCTATGCCTGTTGGATTTTCATTTTTCCTGCAGGGGAACTAGGGAAATATTCAGTCTTATAGCAATGCCAAAGTTTTGTGGGTGTAGCTTTGAACAGTTGCTAAAGGAAAGAAATAAGGCTTTGGGAACTGAAATTTCAGCTGAACTTCAAAGGACAGTTGGAGAAAATTAATATAAAAACTGAACACTGTAGAAATATACAATAATACAATAGAGTAAGTTATTTTCAAAGATAGCTCCATCTGAACATATACATTGTGCTGTACACAAATCATGAACTATCATTTCTGTAAATTTAAAACAATGAAAATTTTACTAAGAATTTTAAGAGTAACTTTATCAAATAAGTTATCCAGTTCTGTCCCATAGTCATGACTATATTGCATGAATATAACTAAAGGAACAATATTTAATGCACACAGATTAAAATGTGTACCTTCTTCCATTTAATATTCAGGGTCTTCAGCCTATTAGAAATATTATCTCTTTCCTGAGGCCCAATACTTGTATTTGAAAGTACCTCTGCTTCTTTTCTATTTAGCCACTTAAGTTTCTCTCCTTGTATATCCATTTCTTTAATCAGACCCTAAATGAGTAAAGATAGTGACACTCATTCATTAAAAACTGGTTATCTCTTATAATCAGGGCAGTAATATGCTTCAAATTCTAAGAGCACAAAAAAAATCACATTAAGTAGTTTAAACGACAAAAATCCAATGAAGAATTTATTTTGAAGCAAGTTCCAGGTTCTGTGGCTGCAAAAACATAAGCAACCAATATTTAAGCAACCAGTTTCATGAACAGATTACAAAATAAACCATAATTGTATTAATCATAACACAACATTAATCTAAAACAGAGAAATATATAGTTTAGCAAGTGTATGGAAATCATGTTTATGTATGAAAGTTCTAAATGCTTTTGATCCAGTGGTCCCAACAGACATTTTGAATAGTCCTAAATGTTATCCAACAACAACAAAAAGGAACATGATACAATAAATAAAATGCTTAATATTTTTAATGTTACTTGCCATTAATTCTTGTAAATTCTCTTCATGACTGATTGCAGGTTTCTCATCCAGGGAATTTTCTACATTTTCCACCCAGCAACTAATTTCTTCTAGTTTCCTTGTGAAGTCTATTAATTGCTGATTTTTTCCTTTCAGTCTGAATCAAAAACCCCAAGGTGGAATATAAAACAAAATCACTATAAATATTGAAATAGATATAAAAGCAAAATATTCCTTCTATAACTTACTATGCTGCCTAGAAATGATACTGTACAATATTAAAAAGAAGATTGAAAGAACCATATGCCTTAATGATACAAATTTCATAACATGATTCCATTTCTTATCCAGAAAGATGATTTCATACAAAAAAAAGTCCTCAAATGTAGGCCTTAAGTCTTTAAAATATTTTTTCTCTGTAATACTTTGTAGTCTTATGAAAATATCAACTTAATTTCCTGATAGTAAAATTCAATGAATTGACACGTTGCTTTTTTCATCCTGCCTTTTAATATTTTTATAAATAAGTCAATGTAGTGAGCATACCTAATATTTCTTCCTCCTTCTATTTTCCCCGCAACAAAAACCCTGTGAGGTGAGTTGGACTGAGAATGAGTGACTGGTCTGCAGTCATCCGGTTGCTTTCATGCCTAGAACTGTTTCCTGGTTTACTACCCTGTTGCCTTAACACTAGCTCTCAATTAGATTAATATAGTTTTGATATTACTGTATACAAATATGACAATGTATAGGGCAGCAATGGTGAACCTTTTTTGGCTCTCGTGCCATAAGCAGGGGGAGCGCAGAGGGGTTGTGCGCGGGTGTGCTGCACCCATAATGCAATGCACAAACACCCCCAATGTGCATGGGGACATGACAGGCACTCCCCCCATTTTTTGCATGCTTTTCTCACTCTCCCCAGGGTCCAGAGGCTTTAAAGGAGCCTGGGGAGGGCGAAAACAGCCTCCCCCGACCCACTCGGAGGCCCTCCAGAGGCTTCAGGAACTTTCTTAAAGCCTCCAGAGGGCAAAAAATGACCCTACGCGCAAACCGTAAGTCACTTCCGGATTGCTTGTAGGGCCGATTTTAGCATTCAGGAGCATTCAGGAGTCCTCAGGAGGCTTCCCTGAAGGCTTTGGAGGACAAAAAATGACCCTATGAGCAAACTGGAAGTTACTTCTGGTTTGCTCGTGGGTGCGTTTTTAGTCCTCTGGAGCCTTCAGGAAAGCCTCCTGAGGGCTCCTGAAGCCTCCAGAGGGTCTCGGGGGGGGGGGTCAGGGGAGGCTGTTTTCGCCCTCCCCAGGTTCCCATAAATCCTCTGTAGTCTGGGGAGAGCAAAAAATCGCTTTAAAAAAGGCTGAACTCAGCTTGCCAGCGCGCGCATATGCACTGGCCAGCTGACAGGGCAATGCCTCGCGTGCCCTAACAAATGGCTCCGCATGCCACCTCTGGCACATATGCCATATGTTTGCCATCCCGGGTATAGGGGAAATGAACTTTATAGCAGGTATCATTTAAGTTTTGAGGAGGAAATAGTTTTGAACACCAATGCTTTCCAGCATACTTGCATTAACATTTTATATTAATGCAAAACCTGTTTTTAGTTGGATTTTGCTCATTTTCAATAGAAGACTTCTTCAAACTTATTAACCACCTGCCTACTAAGAAGCACTCAGAAATTTCCAACAGTGATTGATAAAATGTAATTTCAGAATATTTTTCTTCAGCTGAAACACCGGAGTAAACCAAAAAAATCATGTAAGTTAATAATTAATTCAGGTTCCAAAGCAGGAAAAATATAAAACAAATGCATGTTATACATTATATAGAATATTAATATATCACAAAGATGATATGATATATGATATGATACACTATGCTATGCTATATATTTGATTTAAATCACATTTGGAAACCACCCATCTGCTTCACAGAGTGATTCTATACTATAGTAACAGCTATAAAGCTGTTTTAGGGTACTGCCTTAGGAAACCTTTTGGGATAAAGATATGAAAGGTTTCTCTTGGTGAAAGTCCACAATGGCATCTACAAATTTTAAAGAAATTTATGTCCACTGTTATTAAGATAGGCTCAAATCCAATACTTACATCTGTTGCCTTTCCATGATTTCAGCATTGATGTTCTTCCAGCGTTTATACAGCCCAGCTAGTTTTTCTTTCAGGAACTTTCCATCTGTATTGGAGAGTTTCTGGGTTATTTCCTCTCCTGTTCTATTCAGTGTTGAGAAAATGAGCTTATGGCTGCTGATTCCCTCTTCAAGTTCCTGTTGGAAATGCATATATAGATAGCGGTTTCAGTTTCAATCCATAATAGCTATATCAGATGTTACCTCTGCTGCAAGAAGATGGATTCATGACAACTGCTGTTCATGCATCTGGACTGGACCTCCTTTTTCGTGATCTATGTGGGGCTACTTTTTTTAAAAAAAAACTGAGAAGTATTATCTACTACTAGTAAATACCATTAGTTTGGGCCTCGTGTATCTCTTTCCGCAAAGGGCTGTGGCAACTCGAGAACAGGCCTGACAGGCTGCTTCTAAGCCTTGCCCAACATGCTGTATCTCAGGTGTGTCAAACTCGTGTCATCATATTGTCATGTGACATATTGTGACTTTTTTCCCTTCGTTGAAATGGGGATGGGAGTGGCCAGCGTGTGACGCATCTGCTCTGCAGGCCGCAAGTTTGACACTGCTGCTGTATCTTCTCTTCAATATTCTCAGCAACTACATTTGAGTTTCTAATATTGCAAAGACCTCCTCCTCTATCACAAATGTGCTCCTCATCTCATTCACACACAGACTTAACCTCCACAAAATAAAGGTTCTGTCCTAAGCTTCATTTGAGGAGATACAAATGTTTCTACTAGGAGCAAGACTTTCTCAGCAGCAGATTTAATGCCTGCTCTAAGAACAAAAGGACTGAAATCTTAGTGTGTTTTATATAGCACCCCTGAAACGAAAGCACTGGCTTCTTTGCTTTTTTTAATTCACTATATTTGTTTCATCAACATCTTTGGAAGCTATGCAAATAATTCCTCGATACAATCTATGTAGGTTGACTTTATATGTTTTAATAGGGCTAAGCAATGCATTCAGGCAAAATGTGATGGCACAACCTTTGCGGCACATAGGTGGCCCCTTTGATTTACTGGCAGTCTCAACAGAAGTGTTATCAATGTAATATATGCACAAACCTTTGAAGCAACCACACTGAGCTTTGAAGGCAGTACCAACACCCTTTGCAAAGCAGCCTTTTAAATACTTTGTACAACGCCTAGCTGCCAACATTACAAAACCTGACAATTGCCACTTTCTTCTGTGACAACAGTAGAATTAAAGGCTATAACTAGACTGCTGGGCTTAATACACGGTAATCAGTTACCTGCTGGTGTATCCTGGCTTTTTCTATATCAAGGCTGCCATCTGGAGTGTGGGCTTCAGCCAGCAACCCCTCTGCTTCTGTTAGCCACTGTGAGAGATCATTTAGATCACAATGGAACTGTCTCCACTCCTCTATAGACTTATCAAAGCTACTAAATGGGATAAGAAGAACAGGAGAAAAATGTGAAAGGTATTTCAGAAGTAAAACAACATAATTTTGCATTACAGAATACATACATGGTAAGACTGCAAAATAGAATATGTATGCAAGTGAGTGTGTGTGCAATGTAGAAGACAGCAGATGCAATCTTGGCTTATTTGTGTTGAAAAATTACAATTTTCAGCTCATTACAGCTGAAAAAAAGTTTTTCCCCAACAAAATCTGCAATGAAATCTTCTTCATGAGGAAAAATAGGAGGACATTTATATTCCACATAGAAAACATAGCTTTCCGGGTCATTATTTAGAGATATATTTATTCCTAATTGTGAGGTATAACTATAATTGAACTAAACTGTTTTTGTATCCTAAGTTGACAGGAGAATTCTTCCCTATTACAAAAGACTTAACCATACCAGTCTTGACTTTAAAGTATTGGCTTTAAAGAAGCCTGCTTACTTTTAAGTACAATGCAAAATAAGATACATTATTTATGAGATTCGAGAACTGTCTTATCCTGCAATGAATCAGCTAGGAAATCTGCTTATAGTATTTCACCAATTGACTATGAAGTTTAATTTCTCTTTTAAAATGGGACCGTTTGCCTACTTCATTGTTAATTTAATAAGAACATTTGAGTTTCCAAATGAATGATGTGACTTCAAATATAGTCACAGCACAAATGTCTGCAAATACCGAGGAAGAATTTTTGCCTGCACTGCATGAAGAGGAAATGTGATATAATACAAAACTATTTTTGAAAACAAGTTCAAATGATGATGCTAGGGATTGGTGGGATTCTACAGGTGCAGCCTTTAAAACTGTTGGGAACAAGATTGAAAATGCAATGTACATTTGTTTGTGAAGATTCCTATATTCTCATGAATTAATTGGCCCACATTCGTGTGACTTTAACAGAAATGCTAGTAAACAGAGTTCTCAGCTGGCTAGAATTTCTCTTTTAAAAAACAGCAAATGCTAAAAAGAGAGACCGAGAAATGTCTAAGATCCAGGAACTGATTTGCTTTATAATTTGCAGAGAAAAAGAGATTGAGAACAAAGGAGTCAAGTTTTTCCCCATTCCATGCTATTCATAAAGTTTAAGAACATGATGTTGCCACTTTAATTTTCATTTTAAATGTAATATTTAGTGTCCTCACGCCACCTGAATTAACACTTCTTGGTTCCCTGCTTGCTAGCTTGCATAGTCATTTGCTAAGCAACTTTGGCAAATAAACCATCTTTTATAAATAATGCTTTAAAATGTTACCCTGTTTACATCCAAACTTAGCACAACTGGTTTATACTGCAGGGAAAGTAGAGCTACAAAATGGCTACTACCTGATTTATTCTTTTCTCTGCCTAACTCATCGCATTTTCTTGGCGAAAAAGTGTAAGTACAAAATATAGGCAGTCCTTTTACTTACCATTTGCGGTCATTGTACATTCTGTTAATGCGATCCCATTCTGCATTAAGCTGGGTTAGTGAATCTTCTATTTGAACAGCTTCAGATCCAGATGCCTCTAATATAACATCAGGTTGCTTTTCATGAATAACTGCAATCTGATCCTCTAATTTATCCAACATATCTTTTATGTTCTGTAATACAGTAAAACAAAAATACCAGGCAGAATTAGCATCTCCTCAAAGATAACTGCCGGCTGGAAAAATAGAGCCTGATTAGATGGCAACAAACATAAGTATACATGTATATTTACATCTTTCATCATTTGACTCATGGCTTAGAATGATGCACACATGTAAGTCATAAAATGATTTACTTTTGGCTCAGCATGATGTCTGAAGTCAACCATTACAGTTCAACATTATAAGCAAACTAGACCATTAAGGCTTGCTCAAGAAACAAAAACAAAGTCTTAGTGACTTTGGAAGCCAAACCATGTCTCCCAGATTAGAGAGTACATAATATAATATGTATGTAATCATTTTCTATTTTATTATTGTAAGCCATCCAGAAGCCCCATGGCAGGATGGGCAGTATTGTATTGTATTGTATTTATTTATTTGTCTTGTATGCCGCCCACTCCCGAAGGACTCCAGGCGGCTCACAATAGACAAGGGAAGGGGGAAGACTAGACAAAGACAACACTTTAAAAACAAAACCGCGACATTCACAATTTCCGCGGGGCTGGATGTTTCCCAGCCCCCCCCGGCCTGCTGGAGCAGCCAGGACTTGGTGGCTTTGCGGAAAGCTGGGAGGGTCGTAAGGCTCCGGATCTCG